GCCCGAAATACTCAAATTGGGCGGAGCCTAGTCGTGTTTGGGCTCATTTTGAAGCGCTTGATGAGTTGAGCTTAACAATAGCAACTTCAAAATGGGGAAAACTCGATTTTTTGGAAAATTTTGGAAAATCGAAATTTTCAAAAAAAAAATGTTTTTTTCAATTTTCTGAAAATGCTCGTTTTTGGATTGTTCAAACTATCTGGAAACATTTTATTGAGATGTGGGAGTTCTTGAGCTTCAAAATGAGCCCGAACACGACTAGGCTTCGCCCATTATGATTTTTCCCTATTGCACGCGACGCACGACCGCGACGCTACTGAGCTTACTCGTGTTTGGGCTCATTTTGAAGCTAAAAAGCTCAGAATTTTCTAGAAAACACTTTTAGACTGTTTTAACACGCCCAAATCTGGAAACTTCAGAAAATTTCAAAAAAGTGTCCTAAATTCCGAAAATGTTACAAAAATTTACTCAAATTCGGTTCTAGAGACAAATTTTCAGAAAAATTGTAATTTTCAGATTGTCCGCGTAATGAAAAGAAGTCAGAGTGAAAACGAACAAGGCTACTTGTCCTATTTGACATGCTTCGCTGGTGGTGTTTTCCTGGCAACATGTTTCCTGGACATTATCCCCCATATCAAGTTAGTTATTGATTTTTTGAGTTTTAAATTTAGTTTATTACGTTTGGAAGGTCAAGTGCTTTAAAATGAGCCTAAACATGACTAGGTTTGGGAAATTTTTGCATATATTTTTTGAAAAATTTTTAAATGGGTTCTCGAGAATTTTCCTTCTGAAATTTTGCATTCTGAAAATGCTTCAAATTACTTTAAAGTTGAATTTTTGAGTTTGTGAGGTTAAGAGCTTTAAAATGAGCCCAAACACGACTAGGCTCCGCCCACTTTCATATTTCCTTTGGCGCACGCGACGCACGACCGCGACGCTCCTGAAAATTCAAAGTGGGCGGAGCCTGGTCGTGTTTGGGCTCATTTTGAAGCTTAAGACAAGCTGAGATCAATGCAATCACAAGTTCAGAGAGTTGAAACAGATTGGGAGAAAAAAAAATCGATTTTGGGATTTTTGGAATTTTTGAAAGTAGTTTTTTTCTAGATTAATGTTGGATTTTTTGGATTTTTTCATCATTAATTGTGTTTTATTTGTTTTGAGCTTCAAAACAAGCCTAAAGGCAACTTGGCTCCGCCTACTTTGACTTTTCCGGCGCGTCGCGGTTGTGCGTCGCGTGCGCAAAGTGAAAACTCAAAGTGGGCGGAGCCTAGTCGTGTTTGGGTTCATTTTGAAGCTCTGAACTTACCAAATTCAAAAAAATAAGTTACAACAAACGCATGTTAGATTTTGAAGACTTACAGTCAAATTTAGAAAAAAATTTGTCTGAAAATTAGTTTTTGTCCCAAATTTTTTGTCAAGGTACCGAGCTCGA